GACTTTATATTCTAGTTGGGGGGACAGGGGAAAGAGAAACAAGAAAAGATATAGTAGGTCAGATGGTGATAAGTGCTTTGGAGAATAACACAGGGAAAGGAGAGTCATTGCCATTTTAAACAGTGTGGCCAGGGAAGGCCCCAACAAAGACGACAGAGTTGGGCAAAGATATGAACGAGATAAGGGCATAAGTCACAGAGAACGGGGAGAAGAGCATTCTGGGTAGCGGGAATGGCATGGGTAGATGCCCTGATTTTGGAGTGTGTCTTAGAAACACAGCAAGGAGCAGACAGGACAGTGAGAAAGAGAATAGCATATCATGAAATCAGAAAGAAGCCAGATCATATAGGCCTTACAACAGGCCATTTAAAGATTATCTTCTATGCAGGGATGGGCAGCCACTGGAGAGCTTTGGGCAAAGGAGTGATATGATCTGATTCATGTTTTAAAAGGTTCATCAGGGGGGCCGGCTAAGTGGCTCAGTTGGTTAAGAGCTAGCTTAAGACCGTGAGCTCTGAGCAATAGCGGTTTGAGCCCCGGCCCCAGCTGAGCTGCCAGGATGGCTCAGCTTAAATAAAATAAAATAAAATAAAAATTTAAAAAAAGGTTCATCAGGGCTGTGTATAGGTACAGAGAGCAGTAAGATCAGTAAGGTACTAGTTGTGAAACTTGCAAATCCTGGGTGAGATACAATAGGGGTTTGAACCAGTGTAGTATCAGTAAAAGATGAGAAATGAAGAGATTCTAGACATTTAAAAGTCAGGTCAATAGTATTTTTTCAGCAAAATAGAGATAGGGTGGAGGAAAAAGAAGAGGCAAGGATGACAAAGCTTTTTGGGCTGAATAACAGGAAGGATGGATATTCCATTTACTGAGATAAAAAGACTTCGGGAAGATCAAGTTGGGACTAGGGCTGGTGTTTGGTTTTGTACAAGTTTGAGATGCCTATTGTGTGATCCAAGGATCCAAATGGAGATGTCAAGTAGGCAGCTGAAACCGTGAGCCTGCAATGCAGCTGAGACGTCCAGATGGGAGACGAAAGTACGAGCCATTAACAGATCAATGGTATTTAATGCTAAGAGACCTGAAGAGATTGCTAAAGGAGTTAAGTGCAGACTCAGATTGAATACTAAGCCCTGAAGCACTCTCATTTTGAAAGACTGGATAAGGAAGAACCTGGATACTGAGGAGAAGTGGCCAATGAGCTGGGTGCAAAACCAGGAGAGAATGGCATTCTCTAGGCTGAGCGAGACGAAAGTATCTCAAGAAATAAAGAATGATAAACTATGTTAAATGGTGTGGATCAGTTAAGTAAGGGAAGGACTAAGAATTGAGTCAAAAGTGAAGAAAAGAAGAACCAGAGACAGAGAGTATTTTCCACAAACACTTGCATGCTCCCTGGCCTGGCACTGTTCCAAGCACCAGTAATACAGCAGTGACCTTGACATCCCAAATCCTCATCCTGATGGAGTTTATAGTCTAGTGGGATAAACAAAGTTTTAAGAAATACTGCTATAAATGAGATAGTCACTGCAAAAAGCTTTGTAGTTGAAAAGTTTTTAAGATGGAAAAAATTGTATTTGTATGTTGATGGCTTTGACCCAGTTGACAAGAGAAAACTGAGGAGAAAAAGAAGAGTAGCTGTAAATAATATCCTTGAAAAGGCAAGAGGGCATAAGGTGTACTGTACACGCAGGGATTCACCTTGCAGAAGAGCAGGGACGTTGATTCACAGAGCAAGATGGGGATAACTGAGTATTTGGCACATAGAAGCACATGGAAACTCTCTTCTGGTTGCTTTTATATTTTTAAGAAAATAGGTTACAAAGCCTTTAACTGAGAATGAAGATGGAGGTCAAAGTTTTGGAGGATTAAAGAGAGAAGCGGAGTTATAAAATAGATTTCTCAGGTTGTAGCAGGGAAATGTAGAGGCAGTGCCAGGCAACGTATGAGGCTAACTAGTGGCTGTAAATTTAAAGTGAGACCAGTCAGCATAAAAGTAATTCCCAATTTGTAAGAACCAGGTTTTTGACTTTTACTTTAAAGAAGTAAACATCGCTGGGCAAATTAACTTTGTGGAAACTATCTTCACTCAATTTTTTCCAACTCTTTAAACAGATCACCTTGGGTATTTTTCTCCCACCAATCAGATGTCATCAAAAGGCTTGGTCAGGTCAGCAGTGCAGGAATTCAGGGGCTTCTAATCTGGCCTCTTCCAGCATACCCTTTTTTTTTTTTGGCCTTTCTTAACCCTCTTAAATTTTCTCATCTATAAAATGGAAAGGATACCCAGCCTACTTATTTCACTGCCAGCATCATTCCACTACAGATGTGAAACACAGGCTTAAAGCATTGTTATGAGCTTGTTTAATAACAGACTTGGGGAAGCTTTTTTCTACCTCAAAATTCATTCTTAAGGATCCAAAGCCCTCATTTGCATTTAAGTATGAATTTGTTTTCAATATGTTATGGGCTCAGTTAAGCAATATGTGATGGCGAATTATCAGTTTGCTGCCCAACTGCCCTGTCAGTATTGGGGAGAAGTCTGCTTTCAAATCACTTTTTGAAATAATCTAGTCTAGCTTGATCAATCCTGATTCTAAACTCTCTCCAATGAACATGACAAAGATTATCCAGGATTGCTTCAGGCACAGTGTAGATCAGTCTGAACAGCACTCTGACCTGGAGGAACCCAGGAAGGAAATGTGAGGAAATTTCCCATTAGCCCAGCATGTAAATAACTTTATATATACTGAATCCAAACACTTCCTAAACCGATTTGCTTGATTGGTGGGGGGAGGGGGCAGAAAGTAGTCGCTATTTCTAGCTGGAAAAGGGACCCAACAAGATGATCTTTAAAAATTACATTACTGTCCCAGTAGTCCAAGAATACTCAAAGGGAGTTTGTAGGTAAAACTGCAAGAGAAACCCACCTCCCACCACGATGACAGGAGAGCCTTTCTCAACAAGCAGCTTCCCCAGGGCTTCTCGGTCATTACCTGGCCACAGGTCCTCCTGTATTGTCCATTCTCAGTTAGCACCCCTAGCACTGTTCTTTGTGGGGGATCCTGACCCAGCTGGGCTCTGGTTATCATCTGACAGGCATCAGGACCTCGGGACACTGGAGCCAGGGCTACTCCACTCTTGGAGCTGCTGAGATGCATAGCCTCAGTCTCCACAGGCTGCTGCTGTCAGGGAAGGAGAGACAAGCCAGTTAGACGACCTTTTCCACCAGGGGCTCCAAGGAGGCAGCGAATTTCTAGGAGGGAGAACACTCAGACATCGGATCTTCCCTGCAATTATTAGGGCTGAAAGGGCATGAGCCACCGGGCGCAAGCTATCAAAGCTGCTCTGAACCAAAACAGTGATTTGAATCTGTCGAGGATTTCTTCCAAGACTTGTTTGACGGCTGGAAAGAGAGAGACAGCCTGACAAACCTCCAAGCCAGGAACTAAACTCCATGTTACTTGAAAGTCTAAACCTACAATAGTTCCGGTTTTTATCCGCTGCCATGCTTACTCCCCGCCCCGCCTGCAAACAAAAGACCGAGAATACATCACTGAGAAGCACGTTCCCTTCCCAAGCGACAAGCAGGGTGCTCCTCCGTGGCCCTCCTTCCACCAGACAGAAGGCCTCACAGCAGGCCTCGCTCTTCTCAGCCTTATATCTTTACAAAAGTCTCGAACAATTAACAAGTGCACACGAGGATTGGGGATAAGAGGCCCCCGAAGGGGGCGGGGCAGGAGGGGGAACAAGATGTCGATAGATTCCAACCGGGGCACCGAGCTCCCAGCGACCACCGCCGCAGCGCTCAGCGCTCATTACTTTCAACCCCCCACCCACCCATCCGCGTCTGTTGAATCAGCCAATCAGGGGCGCTCCCGGGCCTCGCGGGGCCGCTTCCATGCCAACCGCAGCTGGCGTCCGCGCCCGAGGGCCGCATCGCCATGGCGACCTCCTCACCCGACACGCTCCGGGAGGACGCGCTGCGACCTTTAGGTGTACAGGACTGGGCGGGGCCAACGGGCGGCGGGCCCCGACTCCTCCTGCGCTGCCCTATCCCGGCGGGCTCGGCGGACTGTCGCTGTCAGCGCTGCGCCCCTTGGGGCCCGCGTCCCGGGCCTGGGAGGGAGGAAGTCGGTCCCCGCTATGGCCCGGGCTTTGGAAGAGGCAGTTTCCGTGAACCCGTTCTCCCAACAGCCGCTAAGTCCGCTCGCTAACGTATTTTTCGCCGCCCGCTCCTGAGAACCTTGGCTCGGGAGAGCGACGCGGGGTCCTCGGGGCTGCGCAGGCCGCGGCGCCCTGACCGCGCCCTCCGGAGGGCGCCGCGGCTCGCTCTCTCCCGCTTCACACACCTAGAGTTCCTCCTCGAGACAGTCAAGAAGCAGCGGGTTGGCCCCAAGTTTGAGCCTCCTGATCCATGGTGGCGGCGTGCCTTCGGTCATTTTGGGTCTTTGCGCACCAGAGGCCGCGCCTCGCCGGCCGAGAGCCTTGTGCAAGTGTCCCGGCAGGGCAGGAGAGGAGATTTGGGGCTTTATGGTCGCACGTGGTGCTTGCCGTCCCCACAAGAGGTCTTCCTCGACGGGTTCCGGCAGGCAGGGCGTGGAGTGGGTCCAGGAACGCGGAGATAGTGGGCCAGGAAGAGGAAGGAACGCGGGTGACAGCGATGGGGTCTGGGACATTGAGGGGGGACAGTGGTCAGGCTCGGAACTGGGGGCTGGGCAGGCGGCCTGCTCACGTGAGGAAGGAAATCCATAGTTGGGGGTTAGGGGATATGGACAGATAGGGAGGAAGCAGGGGGGGGGCTTATATGAGGGTAGAGATGTGGGGAGGGGTCCTAGCTACACGTGAAGGGAGGGAGGAGAGGGTCCTTGAAACCAGGGAGCCCTGGCACCTGCTGAAGAGACTGGCAACTAGGAAGCCATTTAAAAGAATCTATTTTTTTTAATGTGTGTGTATAAACATACATACTGTGTATATAATGTGACTGCTTTTGTTTTTTTAAAAATTTAAACACCCATCTCTAAATATCTAAAGCCCACCTCAAAGGCCATTCAAATGGCCACTTTAAGAAATGGTTAGTTATAACCTTCTTATTTTGAATGGAAATGATTGTTGACCTTACCATCCCCCCAATCTCGTGTCTATTAATGTTTTCACCCAGTGAGTTGAATATGCATTATTTTAATGGGTTAATTTAAGTATTCTATAGAAAGTGCGGATGAAAGCATTTGATAGAGTCAGATGTTAGTAGGAAGTTGAGAAGCATCTTGGTGCTGGATGCAGGAGGCGTGCAGAAACTGGTGTTCAATATAAAACTAATTGCGTTTATCACTGACTTTCACTCATTGGGAGGCAGCAATCCCCTTGCACCCCTGGATTTCTATGCTTTTGAATATGAAGGCAACCCGGGAACTCTGGTAACATCTAGATTGCTGCAACAGATGATGAGTCAGAGACAGGCAGGCAGGGACCAAGTGCTCGGCTTTATAAAGTGCCTCTATCTGGTGGAGGAAAAGAGCCTTTCTGTCCTCCACCCTCGCGTTGCTTTTGGAAATCTTTCCAGGAGCCCTCCATCACCAGGCAACATTGTTGTGATTTCTGGAGATGCTGAAGGCCTCAGTGGTGCGCTAGGTCAGCGACTCAGGAGCAAGGCCTGCCCAAGAGTCCCAGTTGCTTTGGCAGAGACAAGATTTCCCTTCACACACGTGATCGGGCTCTCCCTGTGCGTCCCTTTTGATCTGGTTTCCTGGACAAAAATGTCTGGGACCAGCAGAGTGGCTCAGTTGGTTAAGAGCTCACTCAAGAGTGTGAGCCCGAGCTGAGCTGCCAACAGGTAGCAGGATGGCTCAGCTGAAAAAAAAAAAAAAAGTCTGAAAACCTCACACTCCTTACTTTTCTTCCAAAACAAAGGAGCTAGTGCAATGTAGATTTCTGGAGCCTGTCGGCTAGATTCTCTTCTGAGGCTGAAGCTCAAGTGGGGGAAATGTAGTGCTGGGCTCCTGCAGGGCAGCTCTGAAGTTGAGTGTTCCCTAAAATCAGGTCAAGACCAGAAGACAAGGGTACTAGGGTGTCTAGTGTCTCTCAGTTGTCTCTAGTTTGAAAAATGCCTTTACAAAAGAAAATAACTCTTAACTAGGTGGGACCCTCCGCTTATTTCATACCCACTTTCCTCTAACACCTGTGAATAGTTGCAGCCTAATTCAGTCTTAATGCATATAAAATATTATTATCATTACATGTTAGCATCTTTAACCTCTCCCCATCCACTTTGTTTAACTTGGCAAGGGGAAATGACATGTGACTTATGATTTTACTGTGCTGACTTAAAATTCAGTATTCAATCATTACATGCCTCTGGTTAGATTTTAAATTGGAAAGTAATTCAGATGAACTTGTATGTGAGCACATATAAATTCAGATATTTGTGTAACTTGTGCAATACTTATGGCTTTCTTGACTTTGAAAAACAATCACTAAACATTTGTTTGAGTAATGATTTATGGCATAAAAACAAACTCAACTGATAAATAGGTGCACAATTTTTATTAAAAAATTTAAAAACTTGGTTTATAATTAAGAAAAATAGGGCACAGAACAGAATGGACTTTCTCATAAATTATGCAGTTTTAGTGAGATGCATAATTATAATTTTGCTATTATACCAAAATCAGGATTAGAATTCAAAGTTAAGTAGATTTTAAATGTCTGCATGTTTTATGTAAACTATGTATTTGGTAATATATTGAGAAGTGAACAATAAATTTAATTATGAATATGTCTTTAATGTCTAAAATATTTGGTGTAACTTACATAATATAACATTTTCTTAACCTAATCTTCATCAGTACTTCCTGCTTAATAGTCAGCTAGTGTTGACTTTAGGATTAATTTCCATAATAAGGATGACAGCTGAATTCTTTACTAGGGATTTTTAAAATCCAATAATCCTAATAAAATTGACTCCTCCTCCCTCCAAATTACAATTCAAAGACTATCTTTTCTGTTTGCCAGCAATTACCTGGCATTTCAGAAGCTGTTATTACTTCTATTACATTTGCTCATTGTAGCTAGTAATTAACCTCGTGTTCAGACATTTCAGTTTTCATTAATTTGTATGAAATCAAGTTGATTTTCAGCATAGGGCTGAAAAAGAGATGAAAAAGTAGAAAAGCCAGTTTTTTAAAAAAGGACAGAGGTCTACTTAGAGATCTAGTCTGTTCAGAGGCATGTTCTGCCATTCTAAGGTATACATTTAATTTCAGAACATAGCTATGTGGTAAGATGAACAGATTTTGGGGGTGATGGGTGATTTGTGACATTTTAGCTCCAGGAACTATGACCAAAGGATCAAGTAAATTCAATTTGAGAAGCAACTGAAAATTTACAACCTCAGGAAGCATATACCCTCAGATGGTGCAAAGTGGATCCCTTAAAATAGTTTAAATACATACATGAAAGTAGCCAAAGTTTCCTATTTATTCACTCATTTTACTTATATTTTTTGGCCATCCATCTTATACCGGGCAGTAGCTGGGGATGGGACTAAAATGAAAAATAATCCCTGCCTTCAAGAGGCTTTCTGTTCCCTGCAAGGAGAAGGTAAACTGATAGATAGGGTGCAGCATAATCAGTGTTTACTTCATGGGGGTGGGGGACACAGATGTATAAACAGAGCAGTTGGAGCTTAGAGAAAAGGAATAACATATGTTGCTGTGGAGATTTGGAAGCAGTATCCAGATCTGACAATAAACATGATTAAAGTAAAAAAAAACCTGACAGGGCAGATGGTATAGTCCATATACAGTGTATCCTAAAAACGGGGGAGCCTGAAGTACAAGAATTTTCAGCTGTGTTTATTTAGTACCTTCCAAAGAGAGTAATAAACTGTGATTTCCAAAAGTACCCCTCAAGACTGTGTCTCCTGGCTCTGGGACAGTCTCCACAGCAACTATTTCATGTAGAAGTCAACCTCTCAAGAACTTGAATGAGAGGAAGAAGGTTCTGGTGACTTTAGTTACCATGAGTCAGTCCCTGATAATGTGCTTCACTAGCGGTGCACTACTAGAATCAGATCCCTGTGACTGCAGAATTGAGACCTCAGGCAGTAGCTGCCTCAAGATTCTGCCCCAAGGGAAAAATACGTATCAGTGGGATAATGGAGCCATTATGGTTTAAACAATTTGAAAAGCTTTGAGTTGCCAAACCTTTACTGAAAATCTATTGTATATTATTAGAGGAAGTCAAGAACCTGGATTTTATGCAAACTTTCAGAGGTCTAAAATTCATCTGAGGGCTCATGTTGATATATTCATTGCATCATTAAAGTTAGCTACCATTTATTGGTTATACCTTTTAAATTAATAGTTTTGTATATGCCAATTTCTCTGTGCAAATCAATTATTGTACTATCATTTCTACAACACAGTTGATTCCATAAAATGGATTTCCTGTGTTTTACATTTATCTCGATCTCAATCTCTAATTGAAAATGTTATGAAATTTGCACTTCACCTGCCTGAGTTTGATTGACTAGATGAATCCCATATCTGAGGACAGGCTCATGTCCTGTTCACTCCAGCAACCATTTATTAATGAGTTCTGCCTATTAATTTTTTTGTTAATTAAATCCCACTGCCAATAAACCACAGAATATGTGTAAAATTTGTTTTGTGTTACCTCAGTGCTTTTAATGCTCATCTATTAATTAACATCAACAGTGATCACAACAAATGACATTAGTTTCCATTCTAAACTTAGATTTCTAGAAAGTTTTTCATGCTAAAGACAAAAAAAAAAAT